AGTAGTAGTAGTAGTAGTAGTAGTAGTAGTAGTAGTAGTAGTAGTAGTAGTAGTAGTAGTAGTAGTAGTAGTGGTAGTAGTAGTAGTAGTAGTAGTAGTAGTAGTAGTAGTAGTAGTAATAATTATAAAAATCGTAATAAAAGTAGTTGTGGGAGGAGGAGGTGGAGGAGGACGGCGACGAGAGGGAGGAGCAGGAAGAGGAGGAGAAGGAGGAAGAGGAGGGGGAGGAGGAGAGGAGGAGGAGGAGGAGAAGGAGGAGAAGGAGGAGGAGGAGAAGAAGGAGGAGGAGAGGGAGGAGGAGGAGGAGGAGGAAGAGGAGGAGCAGGAGGAGGAGGAGGAGGTTCACAGGCCGACTGCGAGAGTTGCGCACGGCGGGCCTCTTGGCAGGCGCAACCTTCACGCTTCTCCGCACGTATGCTCAAGGGGCGGTGACGCACCACTTGCTGGCCAATCGCGACCTCTCTTGGAAGGACCAGTTCGACGGCGTGATCTTCGGTTACCTGGAAGAGCTCATCGGGGCCGCCCTGGGCCCCGAGCAGCGCGCGCAGGCCACTATGCGCCTGAAGGACGGCGGCATCTCCCTGCCCTCAGCCTGGGCCACCTCGTCCGCAGCGTACGCGGTGAGCTGGGCCCTCACCCTGAAGGATGTGGCTCGCGCCGCAGGATTCCCGAGCTGGGAAGACTTTCGGGCGCAATGCCCCTTGACACACCAGGCCTTGCTGGAAGCTGATGCAGACCTCCGGGCCCAGGGGGCCATGAGCGGCGAGTTCGACTGGCTGGGCTGCTTCCAGGAGCCTGCTGCCAAGCTCCAGGGCACGTGGGGCAAGGCGCGCTCGGCGGCCACTAGGGCCCGCCAGCTCGGGACGGTCGAGGAAGACGACCGCCTGGCCTGGCGCTTCGCGGAGCGGGAGGCACCGGGGCCGGTTGTTCTGCCCGCCGAAGAAGAAGACGACCCGGCCATGCCAGACAAGCACTTCCTGACCGCCCTGAAGCTACGACTCCGATGTGATATCTGCCCACAAGGCGCCGTATGCCAACACTGGCGCGCCGACGGTACAGTTTGCGGCGTGCCCCTGGACTGGCGGGGATGGCACGCGAGGTGCTGCGAGGTGGACCAGTCTCGCACAATCCGGCACGACAAAATGCGAGATTGGCACGCGAAGCAGCACACCCGCCTTAGCGGTTACGCCGCGCCCACCGAGCAGTTCGTCCCAGCCTGGGACCGCATCAATCCCCGCACTGGGGTGCTCGAGGCTGCCAAGCTGGACATCATTACCCGCGACCCCACCACAGGCCGCGACGTCTTTGTTGACTGGAACATTACCTGCGAATGCTCGACCTGCGCCCCTCGCAGGCAAGCGTGCTCCAACAACGATGGCGTCGCTGCGGCGGCCGCGGTGCGGAAGAAGCGGAAACAGTATCCCCCGAGCAGGGGTGATCTCGCCCCCCTTGTCTTCGAGACGATGGGGCGCCCATCGGACGAGGCCGAGGAATTCATCCGGGCGTACGGCCACTGCGTCGATGAGGCGGCCCGGGGCGAGGTGCTGGGCGGGCTATGGCGGCAGCTCTCTCGCCAGCTTCAGCGTGGCAACGCTGAGATGGTGCTGAGCGCCACAGGGCAGTGAGGCGCGACCACCACAAAGACCACCACGACCACCTCGGCCACCACGACTACTACGACCACCGCAGCCCTACCGACCACCCCGACCAGCTCGACCGCCGCAGCTACCACCGCGACCACCACGACAACCACCACGACCACCACAACCACGGCAACCACGGCAACCACCACGACCGCCACAGCAGCGGCAACCACCACGACACCCACCTCCGATGGTCGGTACCACCACGACGTCCACGACGCTCCGACTTTCGCCCCCCGCCCCCCGCCTCTTCCCTCCCTTCCCCCGCCTCTTCCCTTCCCCCCGCCTGGCCGCCTTTGCATGCTGCCCCTGGACTGCCCTGTCGTGCGCTGGTCTAATTAATCTGCATTGCCGGAGGCCCGTCTCCGAAGGGCGACCGGCTGTGGTGTACAGGTGGCAGACTAAGTGGACCACCGCTCAGGGCAGCCCCCTGAGTGCTGGCGGGGGCGCCAGACACGCGGTCAGCGTGGATGGAGGAAAAGGAGGAGGAGGAGGAGGAGGAGGAGGAGGAGGAGGAGGAGGAGGAGGAGGAGGAGGAGAGGAGGAGGAGAAGGAGGAGGAGGAGGAAGAGGAGGAAGAGAGGGAGAGGGAGGAGGACGAGGAAGAGGAGGAGGAGGACGGGAGAAAGGAGGAGGAGTAGGAGGAGGAGGAGGAGAAGGAATGAGAACGCCGTGTACCCAGCAGGCATGCCAGCAGTGCACACTGAGCGCAGAAGCCAAGCGCCCGCACGGCGAGGCGGGGCGGCAGCGCTCGTTTCCGCAACCTCGAGCAAAAAACGGCCAGGCGCCGTGGGTGGGTTTGAGAACCCTCGGGGCGCCACGTGGGGTTGGTCTCACCTTGGTTGGCTGTATGGGGCGGTGGACCGCTGTATCTATCTATCGGGGGCACGCAAACACGGATTAGCGATCCACGGATTTGGCGCGCGGTCGCCAAATCCATGGATCGGGGGAGGTGCCCTCCCCAAAATGAGGCCTGCCGCCTTGCTCGGCGGCGGAAATCCGAGATTTCCCATGGAAACGGGACCCGTCGCCAATCCACGCCACCCCTAATCCATGTTTGCGATCGCCTGAGGGTGGTGGACGGCTGTACCTATTGATCTCCACGGTTGATGCAGTAGACCAGCTTTGTGGCTCCGGTGGCGCTGACAGCGCCCTCGGCCCAGCAGGCCGGCGCAGCAAGTGCCCTGCTGCTCTCCAGCAGTTCTGGAGGCCAGTCCCCGCCTTCCCCTGATCCTCCTGCTCATCCCACTCCTTCCACTCGAGTTCCTGCTGTTCCTACTTGTCCTTGTCCTCCTCCTGCCTCCTCCTCCTCCTCCTCCTCCTCCTCCTCCTCCTCCTCCTCCTCCTCCTCCTCCTCCTCCAGGTCCGATTCGTCATCTCTTATCGCTCAAGACTTTGAGAACTCTCGGGGCGCCACGTCGTGCGCCCATGATCGGCGGCGAGCCCGGGGGAGAAGTGAGATGATGATGATGACAAGCCCTGAAGTCAGGGTTCGGCCGCCTGGCCCGCCTCCTCAGATGAGGAGCAAGTACTGGCCGAAGGGGCTCACGTAAGAGTGACCCTGGGTAAGGGTGACCTTTGGTGCGCGGCTATTTGGAGGCCGCGGGGGGACCAAACACAAGCGCGCAAGAGGCTATTATCGCGTCGCGTTCGGCGATCGGGGGACCCCAGTGAGCCCGCACCAAGGGTCACTCTGGCGAAGGGTCACTCTTTCGTGTAGTCGAAATGGGCGGGCCTTCTCAGAAGGCTCGGAAGTCCACCGGCCTTCTGAGAAGTGCTCTGAGCCTTCCCCGAAGACGCCGCAGGGAACTTCTCAATAGGCGCGAGGGCTTCCGAGAAGCCCCGCCGCCTTCTGAGAAGGCCGTCTCCTTCTCACGTCGACTAGCGTAAGAGCGGCCCTTCGCCAGAGAGACGCTTGGTGCGGGCCCAATGGGGTCCCCCGATCGCCGAAAGCGATGCGGTAGCAGCGTCTTGCGCCCTCGTGTTAGGTCCCCCCGCGGCCCCCCAAAAGCCGCGCGCCAAAGGTCACTTTTTCCCAGGGTCACTCTTGCGTGTAGTCGATTCTGAGAAAGCCTTCTCATTCTCACTTCCCCCCCCATCGCTCTCCGCCGACATGAGCCCGTGCCTGCTTTTTCTGCACCTCTCTCTCTCTTCCTTACCGTGCTCCTCGCCATCCTCTCCTTTGCCTTCACAGCTGCTGCTTCCACCGCCCCAACGCCCTGCTTCTCCAGGGGGTGGGACCGGAAGGGGGAGCGGGGCGCGGGGCGGGGGGAACACGGTGGAGGAGGAAGCGGGAGCGACGGCGCAGGACCAGAGAGGGAGAGGGAATGGGGCAGGAGCGGGCGCGGCGGGGAACGAGGGAGAGGATGGGGGGAGAGCGAGGAGAAGAGAGCCGTGCACCGGGCCCACTGCCCACAGAGGGCAAAGTCAACGGGGTGGGGCCGCCCATCGGAGAGGACGCTTGCCAGACAAGCTGCGGGGTTCCATCCCCCCCTCAGCGGGTCCCCGACAGGACGGCCCCACCCCCCAACAATTCAGCCGAGCTCTCTCCCTATTCGAGGAGGGTGATGAAGGGTGAGGCGAAGAATGGAGTCCACATCCGCAGCAGCAAAGAGGTCGTGGGGAAACCAGATGGTACCAATACCGCTACTCCCCGGACCTCTTCCGGGGTGCGTCCTAAGTATGATTTCGAGGCGAATCCAGCGGTGACAACGAGGGCCTCCAGGCCCCCCAACAAGGGGAAAACGAGAGAAAGGTAACGGTATGGGTACCTGTTCCTCCTCTGAAGGTCGGGAGACGCCCAGAGAATGGGGAGGACGACGAGGCTTCCTGCCGCAGGCCGCTTTCCTGGCCGCGAGTTGCTCCTCAGAACGCGGGGGCGCATCGGCCACGCCGACCTTCCAACTGCGCTGGCGATGCTGCGCAGATGTGGCTGTCGAGCAGACGAGAGAAGATGAGCACGGAGGGCGAGGAGAACGAGGACGAGGCGCAGCCGTGGACGAGGAGGACGAGGATGAGGCGCAGCCGTAGAGCAAGTAGGGCAGAGGCCGGGCGAAGGGGAAAGGCGAGGGAGGAGGCGAACGGCAAGGCAACGACGACGAGAACGACGACGAGGATGACAACGACGATGAGGATGTGAATGAAGAGGAGATGGATGAGTCACAGGGCCAGGAGAAGCCGGAGGAGAGGAGGAAGAGGAGGACGCTCACACCTAGCAGGCTCGAATGGCAGGCCTACCCCAACCCTGGACCACTTCATCCAGTGCTTCCAGCGCAGACCAGATAGCCGATGTATTATTGTCAATGAAGGGTCCGAGAGAAAGTCCGTACCATCTCCCCGGACGCCGGCTTTTCATCCGGAGTCGTCTTTTGACGGTCCCATTGTTTGGCGGTGCCCAAAAGAACACATGGAAGAATATCCGCGCGTTGTTCCTGGAGACGTTGGTGCTCTGGAAAAGAGGCCTAGATGCTCGTCAAGGTGACCTTCCTCAGGCAGCCCGCTCCACTCATGCGCCGATGCTGCATCGAACATCCGTCGTCTTGAGTCGAACTTGAGTGGGAAATAAAAACAGACCACAATCCAGCTAGACTCGAACCGGAGCCAAAAAGATCCGTTAGGCGGCCCAAAGAAAGTCTCCCGAACACATGAGGCGACGCAGGCAGCTGATTTTCCTCTCGCGGACTCGGAGCGCGCGGCAGCCACAAATGCCTCGGCCTCTTCCATCGACCCGAAGCTCTTGTAGCTGGCCCCGGGGAAGCCGAGGCAGTGCCCCTCGTGGAGTGCAGTCAAGCGGGGGCCGAGGAGGCAGAGCAAGCATTGATGAAGGCAAGTTGCACGAACACATCGGCGACACGCAGGAGTGACCCTGGTTAAGAGCGACCTTTGGTGTGCGACTCCAGGAGGGCGAGGGGGAGCCAATTCCAAGCACGCAGGCCGCCGCTGTCGCATCGCATGCAGCGACCGGGAGGCCACAGAGGGTCCGCATGAAAGGTTACTCCAGCGAAGTGCTACCTTTTGGATAAGTGGGGCGGCGAGATGTTAGCCCGACGTCCTGGACTTGTAGGATCGATTGGGTCTCTTGGATTTCGAGAGTGGTCTTCAAGTCGCTCCAGCAAAGCTCTCGTAGGTTTGCACGGATTTCTTGGATGGAGAGACGTCAGGCACATGAGAACACAATCAGGAAGTTATCACACCGTGGGTGCGTAAGCTATGTGGTGCAAACATATGTTGCGAGCTATATGCTGCAAGCTATGTGGTGCAAGCTATGTGGTGACAGCTATGCGGCGCAATCTGCATGGTACGATTTTCGTGGTGCAATCTACGTTGTACCAGCTATGCGGTGCAGGCTGCGTGGTGCAAGCTTTGTGGTACACTCAGTATGGTGCAAGCTACGTGGTGCAAGCTAGGTAGTGAAAGCTTTGAGCAGAAGAAGGAAAACGCCACATAAGCATAATCTGTTGGCGCTCCGCGCGGATTTCTTGGATTCGCGAAGCGCGCCAGGGGCGGCGCTGGGGGGCCCAGGCGCGGATCCAAGAAATCCGCGCGGAGCGCAGAACGTTTATGTTTATGTGGTTTGTTCTTCTGCGAATGAGGTGCAAACAATGGTGTGCAACCTACGTGGTGCTATCCACGTGGCGCAGGCTGCCACGGCGCCCGCGAGGAGCCCACGGGCGGGCACCGGGAGAAGCCTTCAGTCGGGCGTGTCCTCCTACAGTCGGGTTTTGGACGACAAATAAACAATACCCCAAACATTTTCAAACATCATGATGAAAAACATAAACAATATTTCAATACCCCAAACATTTTCAATACCCCAAACATTTTCAAAATACCCTAAACAATAAACAATACCCCATACATAGTCAAACATGATCAAAAAGTCGTCCTCCTCCAGAGGGACAGGCCCGACTTCACTGCAAGAGTGCAGCCTGCGTGGTGCTATCCACGTGGTGCAGGCTGCCACGGCGCCTGCGAGGCGCCCACGGGCGGGCACCTCAGGAGAAGCCTCGACTCGACCTGCCCCCCCCCCCGCGCGGGGCGACCGCGAAGCGCCCACGGGCGGACAGCCCGGGCGAAGCCTCGGCATGCTCCCCCAGGGAGGAGCGCGGGCACCGGGCGCAACATCGGCCTCCTCCTCCTCCTCCTCCTCCTCCTCCTCCTTCTCCTCTCCTCCCCCTCTCCCTCCTCCTCACCCTCCCCCCCTCCTCCTCCCCCTCCCCCCCCCCCTCCACCTATTCCTCCTCCTCCTCCTCCTCTCCTCCTCCTCCTCCTCCTCTCCTTTCTCCCTCGCCCCCTCCCCCTCCCCCTCCTCTTCCCCCTACTCCGACTCTCCTCCTCTACCTTACTTCTCCTCCTCCTCCTCCTCCTCCTCCCCCCCTCCTCCTCCTCTCCCTCCTCCTCCTCTCTCCTCCTCTCCTCCTCCCCTCCGCTCCTCTCCATCCGTCCGCCTCCTCCTCCTCCTCCTCCTCCTCCTCCTCCTCCCCCCCCTCCTCCTCCTCCGCTCGGGGCGCCCACGAGGGCGGGCACCAGGCGCAACCTCGGCGTACACCTCCAGCGCGAGGCGCCCACAGACGAGGCGCCCACGAACGGGCACCAGCCGGACACCCAGAACTACCCCGCCGATGACTCAAGAACGCCGCGCACGAACCCCTGGGTGCAAGGCGCTGTTTGGGCGAAAGTGGCATACGGCCGGGAACGTTTGCTTGGCGTGTCACGGCGGCAGCCCTGGCGACACGCAGCGACGTGCGAGCGGATACCGGGCCGCTCCGCTCCGCAGGGGCCCGGGGGGAGCCGCCTGGAGATTGCGAGGTGGTTACTGTATAAAGGGGCCCTGGGACACACAAATAAGTACACACAAATCCCAGGACTCCCTCAATCTTGCTATATTCTTAGGATGTTCGTCTTCCCCCTCAGTTCCCATATCTTCTAGGTGATTGACGATTCATTGTGTCTGTGTTTGTTTTCCCTCCTGACTGCACTGATGTGTCGCGCCGAGGCGCGGTGGGCCGGAACCAGCGGCGCGACACTCTGAGCAAACGATCCAGACCGTACTCCAAAGCCCTGGGCTTGAGCTCAACCTGGCTTCATCGGGCATCATGCCCCCTTGATCGGGCTTCATCGCCCTTGATCGTTCTCACGATGACCTCCCACGAGTTTCCGAGAGTGCCAGCTTCACCCATACTCCAAATCCCGTATTAATCGACCCCCCCCCTAAAAAATCTGACCCCCCTCCAAATGCGACCTAGTATTCCGAACCCCCCTCTCGACGGGGAACCTTCATAAACCGGAACCCCTAAGCTTCAGTCCAGAGAGAACGCCCTAATACACCAGACCCTTCCAATTACAAAAAGGGCACCTTACAAAACTGGACCCGGGGTACGATAAATAAGGGATTTGGATAAAACTGAAACTTTCGGACGTCCGCACGGATTTCTTGACCCGGCACTGGACCCTTCCCTTACGCGTGGAGCGCGCCAGGGGGCCTCTGGCGTCGATCCCGGACATCTCCGCGGACCTTGGCAGCAATTCGAGAATCGACCGATCTCGACTACCGCCGGGGTTGCTAAGTGGATAGGGGGATGCAAGTGGGCGGAAAGGTGGGTTACATCTGGCCGAACCTGGCTTATACGGGGGCTACAAATGCCCTAATCCCTCAGGTGGGTTCGACAAGTCCGCTAAAAAAGCGGAGCCCACTTAGCCAGGATTTCCACCCCCTCTGAACCCACTCAGGGCACTTCCAACCCAGTCTTACGTGATGTCGAGCCATAAATGATCAAATGATCCACTTTGTCATCCGCAAATAGCACCCCTATCTCCTTAGCAGCAACCGCGGTGATTCAAGTACGACCTATAAACCAATCAGGGGACTTCTAACCGAGTCACAGATAATGCTGAGCCAAATATGACAGCAATAGAACTTGAATGCCTCCACTAATGGGCAATTCGTACTTGCAAAAAGCCCAAATGAAAATTGCCGACACGGCAACTCTTTGTTCACTCGCCGCCACCGCCAGCGCGTCCGTCGACGAGCGCTTCTGCGACACCACGAAAAACGAGTTGAGGGGAAGGGTACGGACTCGTACGAGAAGCCTCGTGCGAACAAGCACGACATTTCTCGATCGAGTAGGTCGCCCAAGAGGTGATGCCCACTAGGAAAAATAACCGCCCAACCAACGCCAACACGGCGAACAATACCGAGCAAATGATTCGACCGCCGACGCCCGCTCCAAATTGCCAAGCCAGAGCTTCTGGGGGGGGCGAATGTGCAGCATTGAAGACCTCCTGCGTCAAGCCACCATGGCATCCACTTACAACCCCCCCCACCCCCGTGGCAACCCCCACAGCCATCCCGGTAGCCAGCCGCCTCCGAGATTGGCGCCACCCCGGCGCCTTGCACTCCTCTCGGGCGCGGCCTAACCGACCCCTTCCGTGAAGAGTGCCCTTCCGTGACGTCCCCCTCGCCCTCCAGCCCTCCCTCTTGCCGCACACGAGCGTCGTGGGGTGAGGGGGACGTCACGGAAAGGGATGGTTTGCTTGGGGTCGGTTAGTGGGGAAACCGAAAAGCACAGATACCGCTGCTGGGATTCCGAGGCAAATCCGGCGGTGGCGACGAGGGCCTCCCAGGAGCATCCAAACAGGGAACACGAGGTAAGGGTAGCGGTATGACCACCTTCTCCGCCTCCGTACTCCCCCGTGTTGGGCCGCCGCCCGACCCTCGGAAAAGAACCGCGGACCACCTCCACCGAGAATCCATCGGTCGGGGGCCGGAGGAGGAGGAGGAGGAGGAGGAGGAGGAGGAGGAGGAGGAGGAAGAGGGAGGAGAGAGAGGAGGAGGAGGAGGAAGGAGTAGGGGGAGGAGGAGTGAGGAGGAGGATGAGGAGGGAGAGGGAGTAGTAGTAGGTATGAGGAGGTGGAGGGGGAGGGGAGGGGAGGAGGAGGAGGAGGGGAGGAGGAGGAGGAGGAGGAGGAGGAGGAGGAGAAAGAGGAGGAGGAGGCGGTGGCACGCCCAAGACTCACACCGATACAGCACGACGCTCGGGCGTGCCACCGCCCAGGGGCTGGCCCCTCACCGAGGGGGGCCCTCGGTGGCGGAGGTCCGTGTTCCTCCGCTGAAATCCTCCCACGTCTCGTACACCCCCGGCGCGCGCCCGACGGCCACGGCGTAGAACTTCCTCTCGGCGGGGCGCACCGGTAGGGCTTGGGGCAGGTGTGGGGCTAGAGAGAGAGAGAGAGCCGCTCCAAACGGTCCCTGATGGAACAGTGAGCAGTCCCTCGATCAGGAGGAGGAGGACGAGGAGAAGGAGGAGGAGGAGGACGAGGAGGAGGAGGTCCTGAAGGAAACGGGTCCTGGACCCCGGTACCTTCCCCCAGGACGAGCGTCTCATCCCGGCCCGAGCCGTTCTCTGACAGCCCGAGGGCCCGTGGAGGGCCCCGAGAGCCCGAGAACGGGGAAAAACAGCAGGACCCGTTTCCCCCAGACCCTCGACATTATATTTTTTGTGACGTCGACCCCCAGAGGTCCCGACCCCATTCCCTGGCAGGTTTCTCACCCCGACGCGTTGTTTGGCGGCCCCGAGGCCTTGCGAGGGCCCCCCGAGGCCAAAGTAGAGAAAAACCTCCCGTCGCGATTGTTGTTTAATGCGATCATGTCTGGGCTTCCCCCATGTTGAGGCCTCCAAGATGGGGTCGGAGTAGATGGGGTCGGAAGATCGCGCCGCATCGTCGATGCATCGGGGATGCACCGGCGACACATCGCCGACGTCGGCGATGCAGCGGCGACGACGACGTGAAGCACATCGGGCGCCACATCGAGCCGCATCGGCGATGCATCAGCGATGCGGCGCGATCCTCAGACGTCAGACCCCATCTCCTCCGACCCCATCCAGGAAGCCTAGAAGGTCGGGGTCCAGGGCGGGAGCAGAACGTACCACTAGCGACACGGCCAGCGCAAGCGGCGACGACGACGACCTTGACGACGGCCTTGGCTACGACGACGACGACGACGACGACGCCGTCGACGAGCGACGACGACGACGACGACGACGGCGAGCGATCCTCTTGGCGGCGCCCGGCCGCTGGGCGCGGCTGCCGCCCGAGCCCGTGGAGTCGCCGCCCGCCCGCGGGCCGCCCGCCCGCGGGCCGCTCAGGGCGCCGCCGCTCGGGGCGCCGCCGCTCGGGGCGCCGGCGAGCAACGCGCGACGCACCCGCTCGGGCAGGTCGGCGTGGGCCAGGACCTGGTGTACGACGACGCCAGGCGTGCTGCTACCAAATCCTCCTCCTCCTCCTACTCCTCCAACTCCACCTCCTCATCCTCCTCCGCCTTCCTCCTCCTCCTCCTCCT